TTGGGGGGGGGGGGGGCCCAAACTAAGACAGTGGCGTCTCAGAGAATTCTCTAGGCCAACCCCTTCCCACTACAGATGAGGAAACTGAGACCCAGACAGAAAAATGACTGGTCTCCCCGCCACCCCCGACACTGGCCGTCACCATGGACCCTCCACCCACATGGCCTCCTCCACTTGAAAGACAACAGGCCAAGATACCTCGAACCCTTTGAGGAGTGTTCCCCAGGTGTCATTCACTCACGCACCATCTTCACGTGCCATTTTCATGTGTATCAGACCCACAGTAGCACCTGTGGTACTTAACACGCTTTAATAGACTCTCTTTTTTACTTAAATTTCCTTTTTCCATGTTATATTCTGTTTTAAAAATAAAATGATGGGGGTTTTTTGGTTCTTTTGGGGGACATAAAATTTTACTGACAGGTCTGAGAAAGAGCCGGGGGTAAGGGTCCCTCCCCTCCCACGCCCCTACCCAGGGCCATCTCTCTGCTGGGAGCAGGACACCAGGAGGCTGCTGGACTCTTGCTGGTGGGCAGGTTGTTGCCGGCAGTGTCCTGGCCCTGGAGCAGACTGTGCTGGGTGGTGATCCCCTGCTCCAACTGCATTTTTTAAAATATATTTTTATTGATTTCAGAGAGGGAGGGAGAGGGAGAGAGAGAGATAGAAACATCAATGATGAGAGCAAATCATTGATCGGCGGCCTCCTGCACGCCCCCTACTGGCGGTCCAGCCACACATTCCCTGGCGTGTGCCCTGGCCTGGAATGGAACTGTGACCACTGAGCCACGCCCACCAGGGCCTCCAGCTGCATCTTGATGTCCATGAACTGCCGCTACTCCAGCGTCTGCCCGTCAGTGTGGGCACAAACGTCACTCGGCTGGTCAGCCAGGACCTGGCCCTGGGCCAGCTGGGCTCCAAATCCAGCCTCTGTTGCCACCGGTGAGCCTTCCAGAACAGGCCCGGAGGCTGCTGCAGCCCCTGCCTCCATCATGCTAATCTGCAGTTGCTCCGTGTGGCCAGCGACCACTGAGTATGGGTCACCGCTTCGGGGATTTTCTTTAAATTGAAGAAATGGGCAGGGAACCATATTGCCCCTGCTTCCCCATCAACCTCTCTTCATTTAACGTGCTGTGAGTCATGGAAAGAAACTCCATATGGATGAGGTGTATCCCACCTCCGTGAAAACAGTGCAAGTCAGACTGCCTTCCCAGCGTTTGTCTCAGACGCTTTGTTGTGGGCGGAGCTCTAGAGTGAAGCCTCCTCTGTGTGTGAGACAATAGCACCTGTAACTCACTAAGCTGGCGCTGTTTACCCAACCACAGCCCAGCCCGGCAGGAATTTGCTGGTTGATTGATTTTCAATGGAGTGAAGTATACCACCCACCAAAATCAACAGGAGCGTGACCATTTCTTTATTAAATTATAGGAAAAGGGATGGGGGGGAGCAGCTGGGGGAGGGAGAGAGGAAGACAGAAAGAAGAGGGAAAGGGGCAGTTGGGGACCAGCTGGGGACTCAGATGGAACAGGACGGAGGGGCAGTGTCTGGAGAGGTGGACATGAGAAGTGGGGGGAGGGTGGCAGCTCTGATGCGGGGCCCAGAGCAGGGCCAGGTGCGGAGTGGCTGCACAGGCTCCTCGGCTGGCTGGTGGCCAGGCTCAGCATCCTTCCAGGTCTTCCCAGCCATGACCTCCGTTGGCTCCCATGGCACTCAGGCTCTTGGCGAGGGCCATTCTGGAGCGAAATCCACCTCCGCGCTGACCTGGCGGCCCCCTGGCCCCTCCGGGGGCTGACTTCCTCCAGAGGTTCTTCTTCAGGCAGGCCCGCTCCTCCTCCAGGCCTTCAGCCTGGGCTCCAGGCG